AACACACAGTTTTGTTTTAATCTTCACAACATCCCTAAATGGCAGAGGAATTCCTAATTCACAGTAAGGAGAGGTGAGGCTTAAGTAGCTGAGAAAGGTCTCCAACTAGCAAATGACACAACTGAAATACTAACCTGGGTTTGGCAGATCTTAATTTTGTATCTCAAATGGAAAGATTAAATATTCTAAAATTTAAAAATTCTTGTATTAAGAATTGTATTGTAAAATAAATAAAGAAAAAAAAATTCTTGAACAGATACATAAGACACAGAGTTTGTAAGAGACACTTTTCACAAGTTATTAGTCTATGTGGTTAGGCTGTGATCATGTGGAGAACAGACTGAAAAAAATGAAGACTGTCCCAGAAGGTAGTGTTGCACAGTATTCACAAGAGATCCCTAAATGGCTTGGAATGGACCATGCTACTCTGAGGAAAGGACCATGCTACTCTGAGGAAAGCAGGATGATGCCAATTCCATCTCATTGGGCTTCTTTCCAAGTTGTGGGTCTACAATAAATTAGCAATGCTAATGACAAATGAGTTCTTCAAGCAGACACTGTGGCTCTGTCTCCCTTGAAGAGCTTTCACAGGTGGCCATTTTACTCCCTTCTTTAGTCCTAATGTGCATAGCTTTAATGTGTTTATAAATCTGAGAGTTATTTCTCTGTAGAATTCAAATTCAAAGAAAATTAGTGATGCTTGTTGCCTAAACAGTAAGTAACATGGCTATATAGTAACCTGCCTTTATTATTTAAGTAGAGGTTTATAAAAGAGGAATTAGAGGTTTATAAAATTGTAAGTTAAAAGCGATGCTAGATATCATCTTGCTAAAATTCTTCCTAAGCTAATAATTCCACAATCTACATCCCTCAAAAGACAAATCTCTACTGCTCTTTTTGGGTGGGACTTTCTTCTAGTGCTGGAGGGCATGAGGCATTTCATTGATCTCATGCTACATTCATAGCCCTCTATGAGTTGCTATACCCTGTGCCATGGGTGTCCACAGAAATTAATCTGCTATCCTGGACACACTAGATTTAGTAGTTGAACCCCTAATCTGCTAAATAGACTAGGGACTCATGCTCAACCTAAGGAAGCCATATAAGCAGTAAAGCCTTCTCAAGTGACTGGTCCCCAAATTCAACCCAATGGGGAAGCTTTTGAATTTTATGGTTGAAAACTCCCTGAGAGGACCAAATGCTGCGTATACTCAGCAAAGAGGTCCGTGGAACTAACGTATATCCTGAGCAACACTGGTCTATCATTTGTGTTCTCCAGAACATCACAGGCATTGAAACACTGAGTCAATGTTGACGGTGAGGCAGTTTTAACACTCCCTACTACATAACTCCTAGGACTATCTTTATATTAAACACCAATGGAAAAAGGAAATCCATTTGTCTCTTCCTTGTAAAAACAGCCTAACACTCCATGAGGAGCCATTTGTAACTGTCTTCTACTTTCATTTAGCTTTCAAGTTCTGCCTTCAGGAATTCCAACTATCACATGATAGCATTTCATGTTTCCACTCAGCTGTAAACTCTCTCTCTTCCATGGATAAGCCTCAGTTCCATAGCTATTCTCTTACCAGATAGTTACTTTCCTATGAGCTGGAAACTTTTCAGTAAGTCAGTGTGTCCCTCTTGAAGGATTCCTGTCTGGGCATCTCCCTCTAAACATAGTGTAAGCACAACACGGTGGATTGGTATTTTAACTATCCTATTGGTATTCCAAAACCATGTTTTAGCAACCCTAAAACACAATCAGCTAGTAGTGACCTTGTGGTCAATTAAAGTGTGCATGCAATTTTTCATGTAAATCATTGTCAAATCTACACTCACATAATAATTCTGATCTATACATTGTCTATATCACACATATCTATTGGACTTCAACTCTTGCACATATTCTTTCTGTTAGGAATGTAAGACATTCCTCTTAGAAATACACAAGTTTGTTTTTTATCCAAGTCACTAATAAAAATACTGAACAGAATATGATCAAGGAAGGAAACCAATGACATGACATCAGAAATTCCCCTCTTCTGAACTTGTTAAGCATATTTGAGGGCTACTGCTAAAGCAACTACAGACCCATATGGATCCAGACATTTTCCTGCTTGTTACAAAAGTGTAGAAGAATAATTGATCATGAAGAGTAGTCACATATTCTTGTAAATAAAACTTCAGGATGACAGAGTTCTTTTAGGGGCAACCTTGGTTTCCAGGGTGAAGCCAGGGTGGCCAAGTGGACAGAGCAATCACTTTTTAATACCCTTTAAATGCCTCTACTTTGGTCAAACAGGGACAATCCCAGCTCTTAATATATTTTAATGCAGACATTGGAGCTACAGTGTCTTTTAGAAAAGAAAAAATAGGGGTTGTCCCATTAGGGAATTCCACATATTTCTTATGCAAGATTTCTGCCACCAGAGAATCTGAGGGGAATTATATATAAGTAAAGATGGCAAGCAAATAGAGAGGCAAACCCTAAGGTATAAGGTCACAAAAGACATCTTTCTATATGGTAGATAACAAATATCAGATTTAACAGTTTATCAGCACTCTAAATAAAACTTGGCTAAGATTTAAGCCTCTTTGAATTTTTTTTATGAAACCAAACAAATACATACAAACATATATATATATATATATATATATATATATATATATATATATACACATTACAGTATCTATTCATGGTACTATATATCTAAGAATATTACTTTGAAAGGAGAATAAAAAACATACTAGAATTGGAAACACCTATCACTTGAGGGAAGTAATTTTGCTGGATGAAACTCAATTTACTAAAATTCCCTTGGAAAGAGACAAATTCACATTTTCTATTGGTTTAGCTATTTTTTTTTTACCTATGACCTCTAAGAGAAGAATGATTAATTTGAAAAAATCAGCTCTCCTGAATAATCCAAGAGATCCTGGGTACCTTCCAGAAGAATGAGACTGAAAGGAAACATTGCTTTGATATTTGCTAGGGAACACAGAAATGGACGTACCGAAAAAGTTCAGCTTTGTATACTTTATTTTCAAAAAATGATCTTTGATATAATTAGAAACAAAAAGTAAAACAGTTGAGGAATCAGTAAAACTGTTTGTCATCAGGGAAACACAGAGGTCTATTTTTATTTTTTATTTTAATACTTACACTAATGGTTGCAAAGCTCCAGGTCAGCAAATGTTTTTTCATGAAAATAAGACAACATGAAAAATGTTGGTCTATTATAAAGAGTGAATGTGATACAGGAAAAGGAGCATCAAATTTGGATAGGTAAAGAACTGGAGCCAGATTATTTGGGTTCTTGTCTTGATGTCTAAAATGGTGATTGAAAACCAATCCACAGGATCACTGCAGAAATCAAACGCTAATGCAGGTACAAAGACACATATATAGACAGTGTGCAAGTAAATGTCTCTCCCAGTAGATATTAAACTCCTGAGAATTAGAATTAACCCTGTCTTTTTTATGCTTTGTACAGTACAATCTCATACAGTTTTTTTCTCTTTTCTTTTTCTTTCCCCCCCACATTTTTATTGGTGCATTGTAGTTGACATAATGATAGGATGTGTTTTACATATTCATACATGCACACAATAGAACAATATAATCTGGCCACTATCACTCTCCAGCACTACTCCCTTCCCTCTTGTTCTCCAACCTTGGTCCCTTTCTCTACTGATCCACTCCCACCTTTCTTTTTCTTTTTCCTCTCTAGCTTCCACACATGAGAGAAAACATACAATCCTTGACTTTCTGAGTTTGACTTATTTCACTTAACATGACGGTCTCTATTTCCATCCATTTTCCTGCAAATGACTTAATTTCATATTTCTTTATGGTTGAAGAAAATTCCATTGTGTTTATATGCTACATTTTCCTTATCCATTCATCCATTGATGGAAACAGGCTGGTTCCAGTTTGGCTATTGTGAATTATGCTGCTGTAAACATGGGTATGAATGTATCACAGTAGTTAAGATGACTTTAATTCTTTAGGATAGATACCAAGGAGTGGTATAGCTGGGTCATATGGGGTTCCATGCCTTGTCTTTTGATGAACCTTCATACTGATTTCCATAGTGGTTGTACTAATTTATAGTCCCACCAACAGTGTAAAAGTGTTTCTTTTCTTTCATATTTTCTCTGGCATTTATTATTGTTTTCTTGATGGTGGCCGTTCTCATTGAAATGAGATAAAATCTCAGTGTGGTTTTGATTTGCATCTCCCTAATTGCTAATGATATTGAACATTTTTCATACATTTGTCAGCCATTTGTATTTATTCTTTTGAGAATGATCAGACTCTCTGATTTTTTATAAGTATTTGGCATATAAGTGAATAACTGCACAAAACATGACCATTCTGACTTAATGGATAGCTGGATAATATATTTTTTGGTAAGAAAATTTAAATTTAAAAATTTTCACACTAAAACACAAAAAAGTAAATTAAATATAAATAAACCAAGTGTGTATGAATAGATGTTCATTCTATATGTATAATATAGGTAAATACATATATTCAATCATTGCTTCCTAAAGGGGCATGTATCTTATGGGGCCACCATCATGCATGCAGTCCATCATTGAACAAAACATGTGAGCACAGACAACATATTATTTAATAGTTCAAATATATTATATGAGAAATTATAAGTGAACTGTGATTTCTTGATGGAACCAATCATAATAAAAGCACATGAGATTCACTGAAGTGAAAAACAACTTCCTGCTTTGGGGTGATTATCTAACCTTGAATGCTCACTTCAGTGTGTTCCAATTACTGACAAATATTGTCATATGTGAGCACTCTGTAGCAAAAAGTCTTTGCTAAAGAGATTCTTCCTGAATGCAGTTTGAATTTTGCTTACAAAATAAAAATCTTACTATCAAAGCTAGTGCCCTCACTTTGACAATTTGGGGGAGTATATCAATTTTCTAAATTAAAGCTCTAGGAAGATAATTGAAGGAGGGCGAGTTACCTGGGTTGGTAGAGGCAATAACATAGGTGTTTTGTTTGAACTCTTTTGGCTTGAATGAATATTCTCATCCAGGGGTCAAAATACAGAACAGATGTGTAGGCTCTGAAGGACCATCTCTCTGGAAAACTGGAAAGGAAAATACAAAAGGCCACAATGAACATAATACAATAACTATTTCTTTTTGAGAATTAAGAGAGTCAGATTTTATACTACTAGAATCCTCAGGAAATTTTTCTTCTGAAACTAACAATGCCACAAGCAACAATGAAAACCCCAACACTCGCTTCATTAATCAATCCCCTGAACACAAGGGCCTGCATACATAACCTACACTTTGGTTAAAACCCAACTATTACTGGCATTCAATTGGTTCTAGGTAGGCATATCAGCAATTGAAATATACTTTCCTTGAACAACTGACCCAGAAGGACACAATGAAGTCAAATAAATAAAACAATCCCCTGTTCAAACATGACTGAAAGAATCTAGGCTCATATGAATAAAGGGCATTTCTATTAAGCTGTTATAAAGAGGGAAATACAGTAAAATGCTTCATTTGTTTTTAGAATTATGAACAAGACACACAACACTACATTTTGGAAGTGCAGTAAGTATGAAGATAAACATTTATGACCAGCTGGGGGGAGACATCTGACAATGCAATCAGTGAAAGAAGAAAAGAGAGAAAAGTGAAATATGGAAGGCAACAAAGTAGGAGCAGAAACAGTGCAAAGAGCCTAGGAAGAAAACTTCCCTCAGAAGCTGCACGTTGCTGGAAATCACCACGTAGACGAGCTCCAGGGACTTCTATGTCAAAGTCCACTTACAGACCGTAAGTCCTCTTTGCTTACACAAGACCTGACATCAAACAAGCAGTTAGACAAGAAATAAAGATAAAAACCAGCCCAGCCACACTTAGGAAGTGATGCTCTCTACTTCCAGACTGCAGACGAACTTGGCTATCATGAAGGGCTTCCAGATCACATAGAGAGTGGGGAGCAGTAAGCCCATTGCTTCACAATTCTTCCTTGGACCAGAGTGAGACGACTATGAAAAGGAACTAAAAGGCCCACCTAAGAAGGACTACTCAATACGGTTACCCCATTGCCAGTTCTCAGTAAAGGACAGAACTCCAAGGTATTTTTGAAAATGAAGCCATAAGAAATCCAAGATTTCCTGATTGAATATAAGTTCCTTCAGACGTTATCCAAAGTTCAATGAAAAGGTCAAGAATTTCTTTTAATTGTTTAAAGGGAAATTCTTTTAAAGTAAGCCTGGAGTAGAATTTTCCCAATATAAATTAATAAAAGAATCTAGTCCATGGCTATTACTTCATCAACACTAATGCATTTTTTAATGTAACCAGAAAAATCTTCTTCATTAGAGTGACACACAACAATAATGTGGTTGCTTTTAGAGTACCAGAAGTTGTACAATTAATTCTTTCTTCACTTATAAAAGAAAAGAAGAAAGCTTTCCTGGGATGTTATAAACATCCATAGGGCTTGTGCCATTGTTGAAACCCTTTCTGGATCTCCTGATTTGAAGGGCTCCAAGGTCAAATAGAGAGCAGGGAGCAGTAAATGCATCATTTTCACAATTCCTCCTTGGACCAGAGCAAGACAAACGTGGTGGAAAGGATCCCAAAGGCTTACCTAAGAGGGACTGCTCACATCTAACCAGGAAATCCTTGGATTTCTTATGGATTCACCTTCATTTTAAAAAATACCTTGGAGTTCTGCCCTTTCTGGATCTCCTGTTTGGAAATTACCCTAAGAATGAGCGGCTCCTTCTTTATATTCTCCTAAAGCTAGCAAATATCTATAATTTAAAGGGATGAGTCAAAAGTAAGTCAAAGTGGTGTTTGAGAATTTGAGAAATATGGTGAGAGATCAAACTGATTAAACAAGTTTTGGTGTATAACTACGGAATATGTGTATACCTGTGTGTATATCTGAATAATACCTCTACCTTTTGAAAGCTCAATTTATCTTCTCATTCTATAAACGTTGATAGGTAAATATTCATAGCATGAATATTGGATGTCCTCGCTCTGTTAGAAGACTCCTGGAAGGACTCATGTTTCTTTTTTCTTTTTTTTTTTTTAAAGAGAGAGTGAGAGACAGAGAGAGAGAGAGAGAATTTTTTTTTAATACTAATTTTTTAGTTTTCGGCGGACAAAACATCCTTGTTTGTATGTGATGCTGAGGATCGAACCCGGGTCGCACGCATGCCAGGCGAGCGCGACACCGCCCGAGCCACATCCCCAGCCCCTCATGTTTCTTATTATGTAATTGTATTCATGACTAAGCTTTATCACAGAGTTGTAGTAAGAATATGCAGAGGTTCATGGGAGGAAAAAATACATGGAGACTGGAGGAATCCATATGTCAGCTTTCTTAAGTTGTCTTCCTCTCAAGAAGGATCACACAGAACACACTCTTCACTCAACTATGAAAATACAGCAACATATGTGTGATGTATCTGTCTAGGAAAGACCCCTAGAGACTCAATACTAAAGTTTTTTAGGCATCTTCTGCTTTAGCATGTATCAAAGTTCCAGGAACACAGAAGGAAAGTAGATTTCTAGCATGTCATATTGTTTGCACAGTCTAGACATAGAAATCCACCCTTCTCAGTTTGGAAAAATTTTATATCCATATTGGGAATTGTGTCTCATTAAAGTTCCCCCCCCAAAAAAAATAAAAAAAATAAAGTTCCCCAAATCCAGCCATGGGCCAACCTTGCAAGCAAGCCTGGACACCAGTTATGTTTCTGCTTACATGCCTACTTCTCCAAGTGTCTGTTTACTTGTGAAAAACAGAATGGTAATGCCTCTAACTTGTGAGGTCTGTGGTAGAAAGAAAAAAAAGAAGGTTAAATATAAAAACTGTTGGGCTGGGGATGTGGCTCAAGCGGTCACACGCTCGCCTGGCATGCGCGGGGTGCTGGGTTCGATCCTCAGCACCACATAAAAATAAAATAAAGATGTTGTGCCCACCGAAAACTAAAAAATAAATATTAAAAAAAAATTCTCTCTCTCTCTCTCTCTCTCTCTCTCTCTCTCTAAAAAAAAACTGTATATGGAATGGAGTATACATTTCAAACTTCTTTGGATAATGCATAAGATTCTTCGTGATCTGGCTCTCAGCCTCATCTCTTCTTGTCCACTTCAGTGGAGCCATTTAGGACCACTCTTAGTTCCCAGACAAGGGATCTTGCTTTCTCATCTCCAAGGCATGGCATAGTCAATTCTCTGGTCACTCTTGGTTAGCTCTTTCCACCCTTTAGGATACGGCTTTGAGATCTCACTTCCTTTCCAAGTCCTCCATCACTTCCCAAGAATGGTGAAGCCTTCTCCTCAGGGCTCCTTTCCTGCATCACCTACCCCTCAGCATTGCACCTGCCTGTATATGTGTCTCCCCATCAGGGTGTAAAATCCGTGAGGCTAATATCCTCAGTGATGAATATCTGCTGAATGAATGGCAATCTTTCAGAAAGAACAGCAGAGAATTTTCTTTATAGGACTTTTGATGGAAAATCATTTTCAATGATGATACTATCATCTTTATAAATAAAGCCATTCACTTGGGAAACTGAAAAATTAATGTGCTCAGTAGTCAGGACATCTTCAGAAGATGAAAGAAAATAATACTGTTATTCTCCATTCATAAGGAACCACTTAATATATGCTCCTCGGGGCTTTTTCTTGTCTTGTTTCCGCCTAAGTGTCTTTCTTTTCAGTCTCAATTCACTTTACCAGAAATCTACATCTCTCTATCATGTGTATCATTCTTACTTTCTACTTAAGTGTCTATGGCAAAGAAATGAACAAAAGAAGATAGAGGAAAACTCCCCAACATGTAGACAGACACACAGAGTCACATGACAGACATGAAAAAGAAGAAGAGTATCTTATGGCTGTAAGTGGCTTTGGAGTCTGTGGAATATAATAAAGGGAGACAGAGTAGAATCAATGTTATTGTCCCTATTCAGCCTTGGTTTCTTAAGTCACTCCCCACTGTATCCTTCAGCTCTGGCTGTACCTTCCGTGTGATCTCTTTCTTCTCCCAACTTGTCCACATTATGTGGTTTAAAATGCTGCTCTATGCATGGCATATGGTGGGTGGGCTGGTGCTGCAGGGCTCTGTATCAATGTCACATCTCCTTTACTGATTCAGATGCTCTGTGTGTAGAGTTGAGAATGTGAGTTTGTTAGAAGTGCCCATAAGACTCCTTTAACTCTGCCAGGTTCATAGACCACTGCCCAGCAGACCTAGAGGATAGGTGGTATATAAGGCATGTTGCCTAAAAACTTGCAGGTCTTGAGACCTAATACCATCTCTACATTTGTCCACACTGGGCACAAAGACAACAGACCCCCAACCAGTCCAACAACTGTGCTGCCCCTATTCTACAGTCTGATTGTCCCCATCAAAACTCAAATTGAAACTTAACCCCCATTGTGCAGTATGAAGAGGGACCTGGTGGGATCTATAAGAGGTCACAAGAGCTCTGCTCTCCTGAACAGAATAATGCATTCATAGCTTTACAGATTAATGAGTTGGTAGGTTATTTCAAGTGTGTGTCTATTATAAAAAGCTCCATTTGACTCTGTCTTTTGCATGGGCCCCTCTTACTGATGTCCTTTGCTGCTTTGGGAATTAACAGAAAACTCCAATTTCAAAAAGGCCTTTGTCAGAAGAAGAGCCTTGACCTTGGACCTCCCAGGCTCCAGACACATGAACTGAATAAAACTATTCTCTATGATATATCCTGAAGTCAAATATTTTGTTATAGCAACAGAAAACAGAGTAAAGCACCTTATTAGATGCTTAGTTGAGACACTAATTCTAGGCACTGAAACAGGTCCCTTTTGTAATATCTCAGAAGTTTTATTCACAAAAATACTGTATATAAATTGTTTCATTGACAAAAATACTGTATATAAATTGTTTTCTGAATTTTACCTAAAATTTTTTTAACTAGTTGAATTTTTGAGCTTTGAAGGTTTATCTAAATTTAATCTTAAGGGTAGATTACATCTAAGAAAAAATGGCAACTCAAAAAGGTAATTTAAAAGAAAAGTTATAAGCTCCTCGAAGTAATAAAAGCAAGTCTTATGT